AAGGTGGATGGGGGCTTAGCCAGCACGGTCCAATCAGATACCACAACTCCAACAATTTTATAATACAAATTAAAATGCTTTGAAGAGATATTATTCTCCAATGATCACACCAAGGCGACTAAAAGTCTCAAGGTTGATCTGTATGCAGCAAAGAAGTCGAGATTCAGTGACCAGACGTTTTAAGCAGTCAATCACATACCATTATTATTAGGGAAAAATGCTTCCAGCCCCCAAAAGCCAAGTGAACGTGTTTCCCACCCCCAAGACTTGGTCAATAGGTGTTTTACCCCTAGAAATAAAGATTTTGGTAACTTTAACAACCTCCCAATACAAACAACCAAAATAATAAAAAACGAAAATAATAAAATAATCCTCATCAATCATTTCAACTATCCTCTTGGTACATCATGATAAAGAGAGAGAGAAAACAAAAATAATAAAATAATCCCCATCATATTTTAATAAAAAAAGAAAGAGAGAGAGAGAGGATTCATAACCTTAACAACAAACCCTTAACCTTAACAACCAACCCGTAACCTTAACAATCAACCCGTAACTTTAACAACCTCCCAATACAAACAACCAAAATAATAAAAAACGAAAATAATAAAATAATCCTCATCAATCATTTCAACTATCCTCTTGGTACATCATGATAAAGAGAGAGAGAAAACAAAAATAATAAAATAATCCCCATCATATTTTAATAAAAAAAGAAAGAGAGAGAGAGAGGATTCATAACCTTAACAACAAACCCTTAACCTTAACAACCAACCCGTAACCTTAACAATCAACCCGTAACTTTAACAACCTCCCAATACAAACAACCAAAATAATAAAAAACGAAAATAATAAAATAATCCTCATCAATCATTTCAACTATCCTCTTGGTACATCATGATAAAGAGAGAGAGAAAACAAAAATAATAAAATAATCCCCATCATATTTTAATAAAAAAAGAAAGAGAGAGAGAGGATTCACAACCTTAACAACAAACCCTTAACCTTAACAACCAACCCGTAACCTTAACAATCAAATCCACAACCTTAACAACAAATCCACAACCTTAACAACAAACCCTTAACCTTAACAACCAACCCGTAACCTTAACAATCAACCCGTAACTTTAACAACCTCCCAATACAAACAACCAAAATAATAAAAAACGAAAATAATAAAATAATCATCATCAATCATTTCAACTATCCTCTTGGTACATCATGATAAAGAGAGAGAGAAAACAAAAATAATAAAATAATCCCCATCATATTTTAATAAAAAAAGAAAGAGAGAGAGAGAGGATTCATAACCTTAACAACAAACCCTTAACCTTAACAACCAACCCGTAACCTTAACAATCAACCCGTAACTTTAACAACCTCCCAATACAAACAACCAAAATAATAAAAAACGAAAATAATAAAATAATCCTCATCAATCATTTTAACTATCCTCTTGGTACATCATGATAAAGAGAGAGAAAAAACAAAAATAATAAAATAATCCTCCATCATATTTTAATAAAAAAAGAAAGAGAGAGAGAAGGGTATTATGGTCTTCACATGTTTTAATGTCTTGGGTTTTGTGTTTTGGGGGCTCAGAGAACAGATTCTTTATTTTTAGGGGTAAAACACCCATTGACCAAGTCCTGGGGGTGGGAAGCATGTTCACTTGGCTTTTGGGGGCTGGAAGCATTTTTCCCTTATTATTATTATAAGAATCTAAACAACTGCAAAGATAATTTTACCACGCTTGTAGAAAGGACTCTAAACAAAATATTCCTTAATACCTGCATAGCCTTTTCTAGCACACTCAGACCAGGTGTCATCCTTTGGTTGAGAAAGTTTACCCTGAGAAGAGGGTAGAACTTCATATAAGAGAGCTTTTGGCAAAAAAAAACCAAAGAAAATGGTAGATATTTTACCTCTGCATTTGGAAAGATGGTTTCCCCACCCTTCTCAACATTAGATAAGTACATTAGGACCGTGGCAATCCGATGTCCGCCACGTTGCTGATTAGTTTTGTCATGAAAATAATCAAAATGTGGCTCATATTTTTGACCATTTTCATAGTGTAGTATCTGCATGGCCTCACCATTTTCTAAATAAAAAGAACTCGTTAGAAAATACATCAGGAAAAAGAACTGATTAAAGCAAAAAAAAAAAAAAATCAGAACAGAAAAGAAAAAGAGAATAGAAATTTACCATGTGGAAGGAAGGTCCAAGCAGCAATCCTTTGTTCAATTCTTGCAACAGTCTCATCCTTCAAAGCAAAGAAGACAGCAAGATCAAACTCGTATTATGTTGTCATAAAGGTTAACTATATTTACTGTCCATCACTGTAAATATTTCATTAATTCATTCCTTGAATAGGATGCATTAGATTAATAACAAGTGGCAGGCAGTTTCTCATCATTTTCAGCAGTTTAAAGGACTGTTTAGTGTTTACCTAGTCATAAAATGGTATTTGAGACTGAACCATGGATTACAAAGTAATTCTTATTGATCACTCTAATTATAACCCACCAATGTTTTCCTCTTCCTGTCAGTTTTTTGGTTTTCCCACCTCAACTGCTTCTCTAATAAATCTACATGATGGATTTTCCACTAATTGCATCCAGATGAACTCTTTCTATGAAAGTCAAATATTTCAAATCGAAACAAGCGAGGTAACAGAATTCTGAGCTAGTTTTCCTAACGTTCGCAATCAAAACTGATATTAGTTAACAGTTCCATCATCCAGAAGAGTGACCTCACCACTTTTCTCTTAAACATAACACATATTTAACTTCAAGTAGAAAGTCATCCACATTGGGACTAATATCATTAGGATATTTGGTTTTCTTATGCCATAAAGATAAAAGCGATTCTCAAACTCTATAGCAAACTTTGTCTTTTCAAATTGATTAGAATTCATTTTTCATAAGCTATAGCAATTTGAGGACTGGTCTCTGGCTAAAACTGCAAAACAAAGAAAATAACTTGC